TTAAGATTTTATTTTAAAGTGTGTGTGTGTGTGTGTGTGTGTGTGTGTGTGTGTGTGTGTGTGTGTGTGTGTGTGTGTGCAGATGAGCACAGGTATCCACAGAGTCCAGAGGAGCTGGATCCCCTGGATCTAGAGTTACAGGATGTTCTGAGCTGCCTGATAGGAGTACTAGGAGCCAAACTAGGGTCCTCTTGAAAGTGCAGTATCTCTCCAGTCCCCCTCCCCCACCACTTCCTGAGCTCCAAGAAGTGAATGCTGGGCCAGTGAGATGGCTCCAAGGTAAAGGCACAGGACTCTAAGCCTGAGGACCTGAGTTCAATCCCTGGGACATACATGACGAAAGGAGGGAACTGACTGACTCGCATACGCTGTTCTCTGACTTCTTTCTATGCATGTGCCATGGCATGCGTGTGCACACACGCGCGCGCGCACACACACACACACACACACACAGAGTAACAACAACAACAATAATGATAATAACAAAAGGAGCAGATGTCACACAATAGCTGTGGTCTGATGAGGCTGCTTTCTCCACAAGATTTCCATAAGTACACAGCTCTTCTGATACAGACAGAGTGAACAAGGATTTTTTTCTTTTTTGTTTTGCAATGCCATCTTGTCTCTTTTGCATGTTTCTTATCTCCCAGAACTTACTTTCATGCCTGGGGAAGAAGAGCATTAAGAACTCTGTCTTCTCATCCCTTCACCCCAGTGTCCTACACAGGCAGCCACACCTCCGGGCTTACTGTTCTATTAACTTCTTGTTTTTCTAAAACCAAATCCTTGCTACAACTAATCTAACTAGCCACTAATTTGATTGGACATTTCTGGACTTTGTTCTTTTTTATGTTGTTCAGTATTTGATTAAACACATTGTTCTTAGGAACAGCCATGGTCAACACAAACATTTGGTCGCTAAGCATCCTAAATATTTATATTTATGAGGCTGAGCCTTGTGAACTGAACAGGAACTGAAACCAGAGCTCCCAGATTATACATCAAGAAATAGAATGGTGTATTTTATTTTCAAAGATCATTTGCATTTTATTTTAGCATTAAAATTATAGATATACCATGTTTATGTAAAGTAGTCTTTCAAATTCCTGTAATAAATTAATTTTTAAAACAAATACTTTTCTGGGTAATTTTTATAGTGTATGATGCATCTCTCTCTCTTTCTTCCTCTCTCCTCCCCTCTCTCTCTTCCTCCCTATCTCTCTTTCTTCCTCTTCCCCCTCTCTGTGTATAATGCAAACCTCTGTATGTGTAGAGGCATGGGGCCCATGTACAGGTCTTTGTCTTCCATCATGTTTGAGATAGGGTCTGTGTGTGTGTAGAGGCATGTGTGTGTAGAGGCATGTATGTATCATGGGGCACATGTTTAAGATAGGGTCTCTGTGTGTGTAGAGGCATATGTGTGTCATGTATATGCCATGGGGCACATGTTTGAGATAGGGTCTCTGTTCTGGCCTTTGCTAACGCCAGGCTTCCAGAGGTTCTCCTGCTCCCATCTTATCACAGAAACACTGAGGTCATAGACAGGTGCTACATGCCTCGCTTTAAGTGGGCTCTGGGTATCCAAAACACAGGATTTCACACAGTAAGTGCCTGATCCACTGAGCATTTTCCCACCTCTGAACATGTTATAAGGTCATTTTCTTATCATTTGCTTTCCAATGATTCTTTCTCATTTTCATAAAACATAGTCAACATTTCAAAAGCACTCTGTTTTGAATTTAAAATTAGATATTTTAAGAAATAACAATTCAGAAAATTTAAATATTGTAGACAGTAAAGAAATGAATACAAGGGGGAAAATGAGATAATTACTTCATCTGAACATCTAGAGAAATCACTGATATGCTAGGTAACTTCTATACTTGATTATAGCCAAGAGGCTGAGAAACAACTCTATACTGGGGGACTCATAAGTTCTATACTTCACTGAGATAAAATGGTGACAGGTCCTTTAATATTTAATGTAGGCCACAAGAGAGCCAAGAGAAGCCACAGCAGACCATCACCTACACAACCATTGCCCAAAGACGACACACTGGGTCTTTACAAAGTCTTTGTTTTGGGACACATCGATGGACAAGCCCCCCCCCCCTTAGAGCTGTTTAATATTGCACCTTACATGAGCGTCTCTTTACAGCTGTCCAGCTCCATCGCTGTCTTCTGAAGTCTCAACCCAAGGGCATCTACTTGACACTGTAGGTCTGAAACGACACAGCATGCTCCTTAGTATACCAGGGTCGCGGTTTTCCACAAACTAAACCAAACTCTTCTGAAGTTTCCGTTTAGTTTCCAAAGAACAACACAAAGACCATTGCCTGTATGGTTCTATGCAACATGCTCGTGGTTCACGCAACACTCCATATACCTCACATGTCTTGGCCCTTTCTCTCCTTACCATCATGCTAATTTATAGACACCTAATAAGCTAACCTTTCTAGTGTTTTCAAAGGAAATTTGTGTGGCTGGCACACTCCAGATATTTCTGATCATTTGGCTTACTTCTTAAAATGTTTGGCCCTCTGAGCTCCTTTTTCTGTTCCCAAACCAACTGAGTCTTCTGGGTAGAAATGAAATAGACAAATCATATGCCAGGTGCATGTTTGAGAGTTTGTTAACTCTGAGTAGTATCTAAAAGGCATTTTAATAACTTTAAGAGACAAGAGAATACTTTGGAAATTGGCTTCCACATAGTCTTCATTTAGGAAATTAAGGAAGTATTTGAAGAGAGTTATTCAAGAAGCCATGTGTAATGTGTATAGAGTTTTGTCTTAGGCAGAGTCCTGGCGCTAGGCGACTGTGAGTGTGGTCTGAACGCCACTCCACGGACAGCCTATGGGTATTTAACACTCTGGAAATCACTTAAGGTATGAAAGGAGACTACACAAAATGGACTTAACAGTTTATACAGAAAAAAGACATTCAAAACAAGGGAATTGTAAAGTTTTTATGTTCTAGCCACCTGAAGTGTTTTAATATCCTACTTTTAACCTATTTTTAATAGTAAACTTGAAATTTTTTATGCAGCACCATAAAAAGCACATCACCAAACTTCTGTTAATCTTCAACATTTTTTATCTCTTTTTTTTTAAACAATGGGCTAATTTCTCAAATCAGAAGTAAATTCATTCTAAACAAATGTTCTCATAAAGATTTACCAGGCATTTATATTAAAACCTTTTTTTATCTCAGTGTTTTCAAAAACATTATTTTTAATTATTTTAATGAACATATAAAATTTTGTGTCTATCATGTACACCATATTTTGAAACATGGATACAATATGGAATAAGTCATGCTTATTATTAAACCATGTACTACACCAGTTCTTATTTTTTTGAGGTGTGAACACTTCAAATTTACCCTTAAAATTATTTGATGATGTTATTAACTAATAATGACCATGCTGCACAATAGTCCTTAAAGTTCACCACCTAGCTAATGAAATGTCTGTTTGCTTTGACCAACGTCTCCTCACATGCATTATTTAACTTTATCCCTTCAAAATGCCAGACAGGTTCGAACTGTCTCATTTTTCAAATGAAGAATGAGAGGGGGGGGAGGGAGGAAGGGAAGGAGAGAGAGAGAGAGAGAGAGAGAGAGATCCTCTCTGGGTCCATTGTCCTATTCTTGAAATCAGAAAATCAATCAGCTAGCTGCTAAACTTTCTGAAGATGTTTAAGTCTGCTGAGGGGAAGACCCCTCAAAACAAGATTCAATTCCTGACTTACTAATGATATTTTCAGGGTACACTTTTTCCCATTAATGGAAGAGAAAATAATAGGAAATATACTTTTTGGTAAAAATCTTTCAAAGCCCGGAAGCCTTATTTTGAACGGTCTGCACCATGTCACTGTGTTCTTAAGCTCCTGTGGGTCAGACACGCTGCCGGCCGGCAGGTTTTGACGCAGTCTCTGGAGAATGAAGAGGCAGGAGCAGGTGTTCACTGAGGGCATCCTATGTCCAAGTGCCAAGCATGGAGCCTTGCTCTGCCTTATTTCATTTGTGGCACAGTTACCAGAGGAGGAAGCAGGTATTTTGGTTTTTCCAAGTGGAAAGAGGAAAGAGGAAAGTAATTGGCTTCCTAAAGTTCACTCAGCAAGCTGTGGCGTGATTCAGTGGCTCACACCGAGTCCTGCCTGAGCCTTAAGTCTTTCTTGCTCACAGTGACTCTGGAAACACAAAAGCCACAAGTGAACAGTATATTTGTCAAAGGAGTGTGGTGAGTGGTGTCTGGACCAGCTGTAGTCTCTGGACTTCTAAGGAGATACACTTTACCAAATAAGAAATATTGTTTTACTAATGAAAGCTAGAAAGACATGGTGTCCTTGTGACTAATTTTATGGGGCTGACAACACTGAGGACAAGTTTGCTTTCTTGTTGAATGCTCTTTGTACTTCTGTCAGGATAGAATCATAAACTAGATTAAGCATGGATCTGAGCCCATGGGATAAATTTTGTATTATTTCTAAGTGTGGCTATAGTTAAAACTGATTAACTTTAAAATAAATCCCCAAAGAACTGTTACTTTGTATGTACATTTTATGTAATTAATTCTCAATTACCTGAGAGTTAGTAGAATAGTAGATGCTGAAAATAGCCACTAATTCAAGCTCACTCTGGTAACATTAAAAAGTATTCTAAGGCTCACACTTGAATATACAGATGTGCCAGAGTTCCAGAATTTACCAGGTTCCCACTGAGACAAAGCATGCCAAGGACCCTATGCATGAGTAATGACAGAGCTGGTGAACTTCTGTGGCTCTTTACCACGTTTTCTCTTCTCTTCTCACTTTCAGGACAAACATAGGTGAACCTTTGGGTCACAGTGCAGAACCAGCAGAGGAAACACTGTCCCATGACTGTTTGCCACGTGTCTTAAAACAGCTCTGAATATCGGTAAAGTAAATAAATGTTTCACCTTGTAAAACAAGAATCCATGAAGGTTGTTGCACCAAGTAAACAGAAAGAAAAATATAAGCAGTGCCAGTAACGAAAGTATTTTATTTAAGGAGAAAAGAGATCACCTAGAGCTGAGGAAACACAATTCATTACAAATAACTCACAATGTAAAAAGCCCCCTGGTGTGTTATTGGGAGTTGATTCATATATTTTCATGGCTGCTTTTCATTTTTTGGTAGTATTTTTTATAATCAGGAAGTCCTAAGGATTATTTTAAAAAACAAAAACATAGGATGTGTCTCTTTGGTTCTGAATGATGTGTAAGCATCACACAGACTTATTAAAGGTTCTGGTAGATAGCAGGGCCCTTTGTTTTCCGAAGCAGAATGCCCAGTTCCTGTCTTTAATAAATAAAGGAACATAGTCAGGATAAGCAGCAGAGAGTCTAAGCCACCTGCACAAAACAGCTCCTTCAGTTTCTGAGGCAAGGAGTTCTTAAATAAGTGTATTGTTCTGTGCAGTCCTTCTCTATAGTCAAATAAATTCAACTTCAATTTTCTGTCATTCAGCATGACATTGGATTATGAGGCAAGAGGCCCTGAATGACTGCGAAGAGAAAGGAAGCATTGGCTTTAAACACCATGCAGATGTAAGGCGGAACCCATGGAAACAATCCAAAATTCACAACAGCACATTCTACTGTGATGTGACTGCGTTCTCTGCAGATATTAAATACGAAGCAAATGATTTTAAATGAACAAAACCAAAAAGAGCTCTTAGTCTCTCTTCATACGAAGCAGCTGCTGGCCGGATAGCATTACACAAACAGCAGATTTGCAGTAATTAGGATTTGAAAGAATCCTGTGATTCTGAAAGGCTTTGAGAAACTGCACACACAAAGGTATTCACGGTTAACTATCTTACAGGAAGATAGAAAGCTTTAATACTCACTTGGAAGGCATAATAATAGGCATAAGACAATATCAGAGAAAACAATAAATACACCTCAAAGGGTAGAAAGAAGAAGTTTCAACTAAAAAACTCCTAATAAGGAAAACACACACAATCTTAAATTTTTGTCCTAAGTCCTATTGGGAGGAAAATCTCTAACCCAAGGTTCATGTAGCAAGGCAGAAGAACAGCAGGCATACGGACATGCAGAGACACAGGGTAAAATAGTTAAGATTTCTAGTTTGACTTGACAGTTGCAATGCCAAAGGGTTAAGATGACCTCATTGGTAATTCTGAGCAGCAGAAATTACTTGTCTCAACACAAAAACAAATTTCAACATAAAATACCACATGGCTGTCCTTTTTTTAATGTTAGAGAGAAGGAATCCCAAGCCACCTTTGAACCTTCTAACACAATTAACACTTGACAGTTCAGAGGTGCTGTGCACAAGTTCTAAAGCCACACACCGGCTTCACACCCTGCCTCTTCCAGGCCCTCTGGTTCCAGGCACCCAGCACAGGGCTCTTCCAGCCTTCAGTGACTTCATATGTGCACAGAAGGAGAGCAATGATGGGCACATGAGTGTTGCCTAAGTGACAGTGATTGCTGTGCTGGAGTAAAGTTACAGCCACCTCCTCCAATTTCTGCTCTGCAGTTCATCACTTCCCACCCAAGGACCTTGTTCTTACACATGGACACGGTGTCACTGGTGACCATCTTCTTAAAAAAGGGCTAAAACTGGGGACTCTATTTAGTTTCTTTTCTTTATTAATTTCCTGGGGAACTAGGGTAAAATGTTAACATTTGTTAATTACAAGTAATGGGATCACACACATTTGTTACATTATTTTTTCTGTGTTTCAAAGTTTTTATGGATCATTATTGTTTAAAACAGTGGTTTTCAACCTTCCTAATGTTGTGACCGCTTAATACAGTTCCTCATGTTGTGATGATCCCAACCACAAAATTATTTTTGTTGCTAACTATAATTCATAACTGTCATTTTGCTACTGTCATGAATTGTAATGTGAATATCTGATATACAAGCTGTCTGTATTCGACCCCAACGGGGTCATGATCCACAGGTTTAGAACCACTGCTTACAGGAGTCACAAGTGAGCATCTTCTATATCACGAAGACTAATCAATTCTGTTCTGTGCATCCAGGGTACAAAAGAAAGCAAAGGACAGAGGAGAAGAAAACCTGTCGTAGGGAGGGACCAAATGAGGTTGAAAGAGCAGATAAAAACCACTGTTTGATCCTGTGGATGGGAAATGGAGAAGTAACTGTAGTTGCAGGGAAAAACACTAACAAGGAAGGAAGGGTGTTTGTTTTGTTTTGAAGACAGG